GTTTATATATTTTATTTATTTAAATATATGAAGTGGATGTTATTTTTAAAATTTATATTTTTATATAACTTATTCATATTTGATTTTTAAGAAAGACTATTTCTATTTGTATTAATAATATTTTATTGTCTAATTTTATTTGAAATTATTTTAAAGTTAATTTTATTTAAAATTAATATATATATATATATATATATATATATATATATATATATATAAGTATAAAAAATCCGTATGGTATTTTCTTTCATAGTTGACAAATAATAAACAATTTTTTTGAGACAGACAGTAAATAAACATTATATAATAGGATGAATATTTTAAGTGAAAAGGTTTAGTTAATATGTACCAAATAGTTATTAACCCTAATAATAATAATATAATGTTTTACACCAGCTTAATTAAACTACTTTCAATCTGAATTATTCTAATTAGTTGTTATTAGAGTGTTAATTAGTTGGATATTCTAATATGCATAGAAAAGAATTAGATAAATGTTATATATAAAAAAGAAAAGAAAATGAGTTATTGTCATAGTTAAGATCTTTGTCTAAAAGTCATGTCATGTTTTTATATAATTTCTAACAGAGCTGTTCATAAAATATTGGGAGTTGTTTATATATTCAAGTTTTTCTGAGTAAAATTTACAATAAAATAATGTTTTAACTTCAACCTTTTACGGACTTCAAAGTTAATTTGGTTGAATTGTTCAGGAAGTACGTCAGTGTAATATATTTGGCTTTAGCTAATGTATGATAGGTTAATCCACAATGAAAAAAATATGAGCAGAATGGGACATTTTAGTTAATACCACATAAGTTGTACCTGTAGTTTTATTTTATATTTTTTAATATTTTCTTGGTGTACTACAATTGTTTATGTTATGAAATATAACTAAATCTTTTTTATTTATATTTCACTTTTATTTTACTTTATTCTTAGTCAGATTTCTTTATTTGTTTATCAGTAAATAATAAATTACTTAGAAGTTTTTCTATAAATTTTCATATTTATGGTAAATGCTTAACTCTTTTTTTTGAGAACGAGCTGTTTATAGATTTTTTTCTCAAGTATTTTGGTTTTGAGTAAAAGTTTTTACATGGCATATTATTTATCATATTTATTCAAATAGTATTTTTTTTATAACCAGAATTTGGTGAAATTTTTATCAATGTAATATGATTTTAAATAAAATTTTCTCAAATAACATATTACTTACAATTTTACTTCAATAATAGTATTCAAAATCAAAATTTGGTTGAAAGGGAATTCAAACCCTTATTTTTATACATAATTAAAATAAGTTATACCCGAATTGGATTTTTCGAGGATTAAATTTTAACTTACTTTTAAGAATTAAATTAAGATTTTTTTTAAATTATTATTTTTAATAAATTTTATAAACTATTATATAATTAATATTTGTTTTATTATTAATAAATTTATATATTTATTTATTAATTTTGTAGATAGTAGTAATTTGTTTTTTCTAATTTAATATTATATATTTTCTTATCATTTTAATAAATTATATATTTAATATTTATTTTAAATTTTGAAAACAATTTTTTTAATTAATTTAAATAAATTTAAATTTAGAAGAATATTTTAAGATATAACTTAATTAATTTTCTAATTTAATAATTTTCATTCCCAAAACTAAAAAAACCCTAAACCCTTACTCACCTCTCTGATTCCTCTTAACCATTTCTCTTTCATCTCTCTCACTTCAACCTTTTCTCTGTCATCGCTACTGTAGCCCCAATTCAAAAAATCAGAAACACTTGTCGTTAAACAATCTTAAAAAAAAGGATTTTATAATGAATTTTTTATTTTATAATCTTATCTAATTTTATCCAATTTTCACAAGAATTGGTAATTGACCTGGAAAAAATCATATATACTCGCTGTTAAATAATTTCTTACAAAAAAATAATTTTATAATGAGTTTTCATTTTATAATTTTTGTCTTATCTAATTTTATCTAATTTTCACAAGCATAATGACATCAAAGGAATTGGTAATTAGCTTGAAAAAAAATCAGAAACACTCGTTAAACAATTTCTCACAAAAATTGATTTTATAATGAGTTTTCATTTTATAATTTTTGTCGTATATAATTTTATCTAATTTTCACAAGCATAATGACATCAAAGGAATTGGTAATTAGCTTGAAAAAAAATCAGAAACACTCGTTAAACAATTTCTCACAAAAATTGATTTTATAATGAGTTTTCATTTTATAATTTTTGTCGTATATAATTTTATCTAATTTTCACAAGCATAATGACATCAAAGGAATTGGTAATTAGCTTGAAAAAAAATCAGAAACACTCGTTAAACAATTTCTCACAAAAATTGATTTTATAATGAGTTTTCATTTTATAATTTTTGTCGTATATAATTTTATCTAATTTTCACAAGTATAATGACATCTGAAGGAATTGGTAGTTGGCCTGGATGATTTTTTTTAGAGTGATGATTCAATATATGCAGATGATGAAATTAGAGAGGTTAGTGAAGATGGTGAAATTGAAGAGATCTTCAATCAACCTTTGCCTAAAGGTAAATATGTCAATAACTCAACTCTTTACAAAAGCAAATTGTTTAACATCAAGTGTGTTTGATTTTTTCAAAGAGAAATGGTTAAGAGGAATGAGAGAGGTGAGTAAAGATTTGGGGTTTCTTTTTTTTTAGATGAAAATTATTAAAATACCCTTAACCTTAAAACTTAGAATCCATGATATAAGGGTATTTTTGTCTACTAAAACCCTACCAACTGAAAAACAGGCGTATGCGCGTTAGCAAACCCATATATATATATATATTACAAATCTTATATATCTCATGTAAAAGATCAAATATAAATCAAAATAAAATAGAATGATAGATATTCAAAATGGATGGACATGAGAGTTAATTCGATTTATCATCATTTGAGTTAGATTAAATTTGAGTTAGATTAAAGTTGATTGACTTGAAATCTATTAATAATAACTATTCATTGTATTTTTATTATTTTTTATATATTTTTATTATAATTATTTAATTACTTCTAATTATATAGGTTAATACAATAATTTTTAATTAATATCTTTTGAATGATTTTTTGTGAAATATGTACAAACTCTAATTAAATTGGTATTAAAAAAAATAAACCCAGTTTACGATGCTGTCTTAAATATATAAAATAAACTTAAAGAAAAATATATTCAATTGAATTAAATCTAAAATGAATGCTTGACTAACATTTCTAATTTCCAAAAGAAATTAGATTCATTTTATTTCAATCTCTATAAACGAGACGAAATATGTTGTTGAACTCATAATTTCTTTCACAATTTTTTATATTTTTAAATTGTTAGTATGGAAAATTGAATGCAGAACTTGTCATACGCTCCCCTTTAACTTTTAATTATTATCATTTAAATAAATCTTAAACCACATTTTTTATGTTTATAGTTAAATACAATTTAATAGTGGTACCTGCAGAAGCCAGCAATGACGGGGACGTGTCCGTCGTGACCGGCGGTGTTGCCGACCTCTTGAGCGATCATTTTGACGGCCATGAAGTCGTCGTCAGAGGCAGAGGGGAAGCCCGGCTGAATGACGTCGACGCCCAGGTTGGCCAGCTGCCGCGCGATGCGGAGCTTCTCCTGAGAGGTCATGGTGGCGCCGGGCGACTGCTCTCCGTCGCGGAGGGTGGTGTCCAGGATGCGGACGTAGGAGGGGTCAGGAATGTGATGGGGGAAGTACTGAGGGCGAGCGCGTGGAGTGGAGCTGTTGGTGGCCATTGATACGAATTTGGAAGCTTTGCTTTTCGGCTTCTATTTTAATGGGAATTTGTGTTTCTTATTACTACCTGTTTTACCATACCAGCTGCATGCACAGAAACCTGGGATCATTTCTGATGTAATTTTTTATTATATTTATCTCTTAAATATTGCCATTCTCCAATAAAAAAACAAACCAAGCGTTTCAGTATTGCCTTTTCTGCAACGTTTCGTGGCAAATACTATAATTACATATTTCTCTATTAGAATGAGTCTCTCGTTTGCCTAGAGGGTTAATATTATGAATATGTTCTAAGGTGCAAGAAAAACGAAAATCCAATTCATCATATTCAATTATTAGTTATTTAAATATATTATTTTTAGTATATTTTAATGAATTTATTTTAAATTTAAATTTTTAATTTTAGTTATTATGTCAAATTTAATTAGATTTGGAATTACGTTAATTAAACTTTTAAATTTTGAATATCTAAAAATAGAAAGATTTTAAATCAATTTAAATTATGAAATTTTAGGTCTGAGTTAGGTTTGTGTAAGATAGAATTAGTATGGGTTGGTCCAACTCAGGTAGGACAAAGTTGAGTTAATTGGACTCAAATAATGTAAAATTTAATCAGACTTGATCTAACACAAATCGATTTGGGTCATACCAAAATCAAACTAAGTTATGTCCAATCAGATAAAAAATTATATTGAATGTTGATCATGCATGGTTTAATTACAAACAATGATATACAATTAAGATCCTATAATCATGGTAATATAGACAAATACTTTCTTAAATAGGATGTTGATGAATAACTACAGTAATTATTGTAATATTACACCATAAAATAAAATTAATATTGCAAATCTCCAAAATCAAGAGTCATAAATGTATGATATTTGACAAAATATTTGATTTTGTCTAACTCAATCAAGTTAGGTTAAGTCTTTTGAATATAGTGAAAACTATATATGAGATTAATCTCTCTTGTGTTGAATATCCACATAAAGTCTTCTATTTATAATAGAAGAAATATGTGCTAAGAATATGGGCTATGCCCAAAATACAAATAAGAAATAATACCAAATTAACTAAAATAAAATATAAAGATAAGACACAAATAATATATCTAACACTTCCCTCAAGCTAGTGCATACAAATCGTATGTATCAAGCTTGCTACTAATATGATTCATAAAGACTTAGTGAAAATATCTGCTTCTACACTTGAGTGACACCAAGTTTTGAATGATTTGGAAGACAACATAGAAGACGAAATATCAACCCAGAAAGACTCCCTTGAGCAACAATTCTGGGAGATTGCTCAATGGAAATCTCTTCTTGCAAATCATCGTTGAGGAATGCATTGTTGACATCTAGGGGATAAAGATGTCATTGTTAAAGAGTCACCACGACTATAAATAAATTAACAAATATCATCTTTGCCACGAGAGAAAAAACATATATAAACGGATCAAACACAATGGTGAAAAAGGGAAGTCATAAGAGACAGCAGCGGAAGAAGCCATGGATAAACAAAAAAGAAACCTTAAAAACCTTAGATTCTCCAATATAGGCACCTGAAAAACAAAAAGAGTGACATCGATGCTCTGAATAGTTATCTGAGAGACGAGACATGCGACCACGCTTGACGAACCTAAAAAAGGGAAAAGAGCGACCTCGAAGTTCTGAATCGCTGTAAGATGTGTCATTATGCACGACGAAAAATGGAGCAGATCCATGACTTCAAAAGGTGGAGAGTGCGTAAGAGCTTTGATGAAGGCGTATGATAACACGATGGTTGCCTGGTCGAGACNAATTAAAATAAGTTATACCCGAATTGGATTTTTCGAGGATTAAATTTTAACTTACTTTTAAGAATTAAATTAAGATTTTTTTTAAATTATTATTTTTAATAAATTTTATAAACTATTATATAATTAATATTTGTTTTATTATTAATAAATTTATATATTTATTTATTAATTTTGTAGATAGTAGTAATTTGTTTTTTCTAATTTAATATTATATATTTTCTTATCATTTTAATAAATTATATATTTAATATTTATTTTAAATTTTGAAAACAATTTTTTTAATTAATTTAAATAAATTTAAATTTAGAAGAATATTTTAAGATATAACTTAATTAATTTTCTAATTTAATAATTTTCATTCCCAAAACTAAAAAAACCCTAAACCCTTACTCACCTCTCTGATTCCTCTTAACCATTTCTCTTTCATCTCTCTCACTTCAACCTTTTCTCTGTCATCGCTACTGTAGCCCCAATTCAAAAAATCAGAAACACTTGTCGTTAAACAATCTTAAAAAAAAGGATTTTATAATGAATTTTTTATTTTATAATCTTATCTAATTTTATCCAATTTTCACAAGAATTGGTAATTGACCTGGAAAAAATCATATATACTCGCTGTTAAATAATTTCTTACAAAAAAATAATTTTATAATGAGTTTTCATTTTATAATTTTTGTCTTATCTAATTTTATCTAATTTTCACAAGCATAATGACATCAAAGGAATTGGTAATTAGCTTGAAAAAAAATCAGAAACACTCGTTAAACAATTTCTCACAAAAATTGATTTTATAATGAGTTTTCATTTTATAATTTTTGTCGTATATAATTTTATCTAATTTTCACAAGTATAATGACATCTGAAGGAATTGGTAGTTGGCCTGGATGATTTTTTTTAGAGTGATGATTCAATATATGCAGATGATGAAATTAGAGAGGTTAGTGAAGATGGTGAAATTGAAGAGATCTTCAATCAACCTTTGCCTAAAGGTAAATATGTCAATAACTCAACTCTTTACAAAAGCAAATTGTTTAACCTCAAGTGTGTTTGATTTTTTCAAAGAGAAATGGTTAAGAGGAATGAGAGAGGTGAGTAAAGATTTGGGGTTTCTTTTTTTTTAGATGAAAATTATTAAAATACCCTTAACCTTAAAACTTAGAATCCATGATATAAGGGTATTTTTGTCTACTAAAACCCTACCAACTGAAAAACAGGCGTATGCGCGTTAGCAAACCCATATATATATATATATTACAAATCTTATATATCTCATGTAAAAGATCAAATATAAATCAAAATAAAATAGAATGATAGATATTCAAAATGGATGGACATGAGAGTTAATTCGATTTATCATCATTTGAGTTAGATTAAATTTGAGTTAGATTAAAGTTGATTGACTTGAAATCTATTAATAATAACTATTCATTGTATTTTTATTATTTTTTATATATTTTTATTATAATTATTTAATTACTTCTAATTATATAGGTTAATACAATAATTTTTAATTAATATCTTTTGAATGATTTTTTGTGAAATATGTACAAACTCTAATTAAATTGGTATTAAAAAAAATAAACCCAGTTTACGATGCTGTCTTAAATATATAAAATAAACTTAAAGAAAAATATATTCAATTGAATTAAATCTAAAATGAATGCTTGACTAACATTTCTAATTTCCAAAAGAAATTAGATTCATTTTATTTCAATCTCTATAAACGAGACGAAATATGTTGTTGAACTCATAATTTCTTTCACAATTTTTTATATTTTTAAATTGTTAGTATGGAAAATTGAATGCAGAACTTGTCATACGCTCCCCTTTAACTTTTAATTATTATCATTTAAATAAATCTTAAACCACATTTTTTATGTTTATAGTTAAATACAATTTAATAGTGGTACCTGCAGAAGCCAGCAATGACGGGGACGTGTCCGTCGTGACCGGCGGTGTTGCCGACCTCTTGAGCGATCATTTTGACGGCCATGAAGTCGTCGTCAGAGGCAGAGGGGAAGCCCGGCTGAATGACGTCGACGCCCAGGTTGGCCAGCTGCCGCGCGATGCGGAGCTTCTCCTGAGAGGTCATGGTGGCGCCGGGCGACTGCTCTCCGTCGCGGAGGGTGGTGTCCAGGATGCGGACGTAGGAGGGGTCAGGAATGTGATGGGGGAAGTACTGAGGGCGAGCGCGTGGAGTGGAGCTGTTGGTGGCCATTGATGCGAATTTGGAAGCTTTGCTTTTCGGCTTCTATTTTAATGGGAATTTGTGTTTCTTATTACTCCCTGTTTTACCATACCAGCTGCATGCACAGAAACCTGGGATCATTTCTGATGTACTTTTTTATTATATTTATCTCTTAAATATTGCCATTCTCCAATAAAAAAACAAACCAAGCGTTTCAGTATTGCCTTTTCTGCAACGTTTCGTGGCAGATACTATAATTACATATTTCTCTATTAGAATGAGTCTCTCGTTTGCCTAGAGGGTTAATATTATGAATATGTTCTAAGGTGCAAGAAAAACGAAAATCCAATTCATCATATTCAATTATTAGTTATTTAAATATATTATTTTTAGTATATTTTAATGAATTTATTTTAAATTTAAATTTTTAATTTTAGTTATTATGTCAAATTTAATTAGATTTGGAATTACGTTAATTAAACTTTTAAATTTTGAATATCTAAAAATAGAAAGATTTTAAATCAATTTAAATTATGAAATTTTAGGTCTGAGTTAGGTTTGTGTAAGATAGAATTAGTATGGGTTGGTCCAACTCAGGTAGGACAAAGTTGAGTTAATTGGACTCAAATAATGTAAAATTTAATCAGACTTGATCTAACACAAATCGATTTGGGTCATACCAAAATCAAACTAAGTTATGTCCAATCAGATAAAAAATTATATTGAATGTTGATCATGCATGGTTTAATTACAAACAATGATATACAATTAAGATCCTATAATCATGGTAATATAGACAAATACTTTCTTAAATAGGATGTTGATGAATAACTACAGTAATTATTGTAATATTACACCATAAAATAAAATTAATATTGCAAATCTCCAAAATCAAGAGTCATAAATGTATGATATTTGACAAAATATTTGATTTTGTCTAACTCAATCAAGTTAGGTTAAGTCTTTTGAATATAGTGAAAACTATATATGAGATTAATCTCTCTTGTGTTGAATATCCACATAAAGTCTTCTATTTATAATAGAAGAAATATGTGCTAAGAATATGGGCTATGCCCAAAATACAAATAAGAAATAATACCAAATTAACTAAAATAAAATATAAAGATAAGACACAAATAATATATCTAACACTTCCCTCAAGCTAGTGCATACAAATCGTATGTATCAAGCTTGCTACTAATATGATTCATAAAGACTTAGTGAAAATATCTGCTTCTACACTTGAGTGACACCAAGTTTTGAATGATTTGGAAGACAACATAGAAGACGAAATATCAACCCAGAAAGACTCCCTTGAGCAACAATTCTGGGAGATTGCTCAATGGAAATCTCTTCTTGCAAATCATCGTTGAGGAATGCATTGTTGACATCTAGGGGATAAAGATGTCATTGTTAAAGAGTCACCACGACTATAAATAAATTAACAAATATCATCTTTGCCACGAGAGAAAAAACATATATAAACGGATCAAACACAATGGTGAAAAAGGGAAGTCATAAGAGACAGCAGCGGAAGAAGCCATGGATAAACAAAAAAGAAACCTTAAAAACCTTAGATTCTCCAATATAGGCACCTGAAAAAGAAAAAGAGTGACATCGATGCTCTGAATAGTTATCTGAGAGACGAGACATGCGACCACGCTTGACGAACCTAAAAAAGGGAAAAGAGCGACCTCGAAGTTCTGAATCGCTGTAAGATGTGTCATTATGCACGACGAAAAATGGAGCAGATCCATGACTTCAAAAGGTGGAGAGTGCGTAAGAGCTTTGATGAAGGCGTATGATAACACGATGGTTGCCTGGTCGAGACAATTAAAATTGTGCAGTTGTCGATTGAAACTAGAACTTCAATAGTAACAATGGTAGACGATGGTGTCACCGACAACGGTAGATGACGTCATCGTTGGTAGCGACAGGTGTAGTGACAGATGCAATATAAATATTTTTTTCTCAAAAGAATGAGACTCTAATACCATGTTGAATATAGTGAAAACTATGTAGAGAAAAAATTTTCAAATATAATGAAAATTATCTACGAAATCAACATAGAAATCCTAAATATTAATTCCACTTACTCAAAAATATACTATAACATCGCTAATTTCTTTCACTTTCTACAAGAAGATCTCTATTCATAACAGCAATGTATTTAATTAATTAATTGTTTTAAGTATGTAACCAATTAAACTAGAAGGTTTCATAATTTAGGGTATTTAATGGATGGCTTCTAGCATACCCAATTGAAATAAGTATCTGAAAAAGTTCGAATAAACCTCGTGTAGATGATAAGTAGACTAGTGGTAATCAATTAAAATAAAAAGTCATTTTTTTATCTCCAATATTGAGTTTAAGGAATTGTAATATAATCGATTAGCCTATATGCAAAAGCCATATTTTCAAATACATAATTATAAAAAATACTGGTATAATCCACTATTTTTATTGATTGAGATACATTTATTTATATGAGCTTGCTTAGTTTAATCAACTAGTGTGAAGTATATAAAAATCCATATTTGTAAAGACATTCTTTTAATATTTTCTGAGAGTTATGGATACGTGTCATAAAACTTATGCTTAGGATTGTCATAATATATTGTTGATTTATGAAAGCATATAAAATACTTAACAAAATCAATTATGATTTATGTTTTAGTTGATTTGGCTTGTGTTTTTCAACTTTTGAATGTTCGACAATCTGGCTCAATAATGGAGAGGAAAGTGTTGACCAATCTTCTTTATTGAGATCAGTAATATGTCACATTGTATGATTGTTGTTGTTTTAGAATATAATTAGGCACAACGAAGTAGCTTAGAATGTATATGTTTTTATAATATTGTTATAAGTTTTAATTTTTTTAATTTAGCCATTTGTTATCTCCATTGATAAGGAAGAAAATAAATGAAAAAACCAATTAATTTTTTAAAAAAATGGTTTTTGTCATATTGGTGTTATTATAACTGAAGTGATTAATCACTTTCACAGATTATATATAACTACAATCCATGCAAAAAAGTTAGAAAATTTTAGCTAAAATTGTTAATTGCTGAATCCATTTTAATTGTAGTTAATTAAGAAATTAGGATTCATTCATCCTTTCTCATCACTTGAATGTTATTTATATGGCTTATTTCTCCATTAAGAATATACCTCCGTTAATAATGTCATTAGTTTTTATATAGGAGAAGTGAAATCTAAAGTGACCATGATAAATGGTCTTATTCACATACCATTTTCTTTTTATTTGACATTTTTTAAAATATAAAAATTTATTTTTTATGATCATTTTATCTTATCATGTGTTTCAAATAAATGTAGATATATGTCAAACTATCATTATTTTTTTATATTTCATAAAAGAATGAGAAAAACATGTGGATTAAATTACTGGATCTTGCAAGATTCTTCTATGGTTTTCTAACTTTTCAATGTGTCATTTTGGATTTGGGAATCAGATTATTTTTGAAACAGAATAATCCGTTAGTATGCATAATGGTGGAAACTAATTTTATAAGTATATATTGGTATGAATTGAAACAAAAGGCAAGAATTAATGCTCTCAAAATGAGTTGAGTCAATCCGGCTCACCACGAGTTTGAACTGGAGTGAGTTTGAAAAAATTATAATTTTTTTTATGCGGGCTAGTTTTCAACCCGGCTCATTTAGAACCCGGCTTACCGGGTTGAATCCGTGGTGAGTCGGGTTAGCTCACCAACCTACCTAATTTAATTTAATTATTTATTATTTTGTGTTTCAATATTATTAGTCAGTATTTTTTTATTATATTGTAGATAATGAAAAAGAAGAAGATGTTTCAAAAGAGAAAAATATTATAAATTTATCTATTCAAGACTTTAATATTATAAATGGATAAGTGATACAAAAATTATCGATATTAAAAACTTATTTGTTCACCTTTTGTACATATTTTTGGATTATGCTTGGATTGTATGATACTTTTTTTAATTGTCTTTGGAGTTATTTAGTATGACGTTTATTTATATTTGAATTAAAAATAATTGTAATTTTTTTATTTTTAAAAAACTTATAATTAAATGAGTTTGTGAGTCCATCTGTTTAACCCACCAACTCGTGGTGAGTTGGATCGGGTTCGAATTTTTTCAACTTGCTAATAAGTAAGTCGGATTGGGTTGACTCACTAGGTAAATAATTCGTGGTGAACCAAACCGGATCAAGCCGGGTTACCGTTTTTGACAGCTCAAAAATTAAACCCAAGCAAGGAATGACATACTTCTTCTCCTTTCACCATCAAGTAAATATGTGAGTGAGAAGTAAATCTCTATATTAACTATATAAGTATTTATACCTATAAAATTAAAGTAAAAGATCATTAGATTTCGTTTTCTTAGAAATATATCTCTATATAACTACTTATTACACAAACAACATTCGAATGAATTCATATACGCACAGCATTCGTATATAATTATACCTCTGCATAATTATATGCATATTTAATCTATATTAACTACCTACCAAATAAACCCATAAAAAATATTATATTCAGATTGTTTGACTTTATATATAGTAAATATATATCATGTACATTTAAACTAATAATTACTATTTTATGTTATTCTTATTATTAGTTTGTTACGTTATTATAATTGATGTTATATTATTTTTTTACAATAATTAAAACTATATTATGTAAATTGTATTTTTATGATATATTAGATTACATCTCTTATATCACCATTTTATATTTTTGTTAAAGGAAAATGCTTTCATAATTTTTTAGGAGGAATTACTTTTATAATTTTATTAAAACGAATGCTTTGTGTTTAGATTTTGTTCTTACTATATTTATAATTATAGTGTAACTAGTAATGAAATAAAAATTATAAAAGTAAGCAAATATAAAACTCTAAAAACTAAAAAGTAAAAGTATTACATCATTGCATATGGTAGTGTTGCATTATGTTTTTAGCACTAGTCACTTGCCGGTCAATTTATAGTTCTATCTTTGAACCTTTTAGCTTGATATAGTTATATTTGATTAGACCATAATATTTTAACATGAATATTAGACTATTAAACTATTAGTATATGAACA